AAGAATTGATTATTCGGTCCTTAATATGTATACTACTAAAATTCAGTGGCGCGACAGCCCATAGAGGGCCAAGGCCTACTGTGCCCATCTCAGTTTTCTTGATCTTGGGCTCTAGGGTGCAGGAGCAGATGTTCCTGTCAGGTGGTCAGCCGAAAGCGGAACCGTGTTTAGTTCCCAAGAATGCTTGGTACTCATTTATCGACCCACTGAAGGAATGAAAGGATGAGTCAACCTTGCCCGGCACGTATGGGGTTGTATTTTCATTATTTTATTATAAAAGATCATTAAAAGGTCATTTCATTCTGACAAATATTTAAGTTACATGGTTTTCTTGAATAAGCATGATTTGCAAAGCGCATCCCTATGTTTCTATACATTTCGAAACAGACTTTTGCGAACATGTCCTTTCACTAAGCTCTTCTCCCGCAGTGGACTGATCGTAAAGACGCGGCTTCCAGTAGAAATCCGAGGTCAAGCATCATTGGCTGGGGTCAGTAAGCGGGTGGGTGACCACTTGACTGCCTCAGGGACGTTTTCCAGACCGTCGCCAATAGCCAACCGTGCAGCCAAACATCAGTCTCGCATAGTGGCTGGTACTATGGCCACGAGGAAAATATGCCACTTCGAATATGGGTGTGTGGTGAATAGTTTTGTCTTAAACTTGGCAGCGATCGGTGAGAGTAAACCAATCGACACTTTCATTTCATTCCTCCACTGCACCCCCCATTAGAAATGTGCGCTTGCTCGCTAATATAGCAGCAGATCGCATCAGACTTTTAGTGCGGAGGAGTTCTCCTCAAAGCCGCACTTTACCACTAAGCTCTTTGATTGCGATCAGTTACTTATTTATCTCCAAATATCGCTAATAAAGTTTCTTTGTTCAATTCCTTTATTTAAAAACTTATTATTTACAAAGTCACCATCACCACTGACATCTGGACATCTGATACGACGGCCTCATTTTAAGTAGAGTTCGTAAGGTCCTAGTTAAAAATGTGGTAGCAAAACTAAGAAGATGTATTTTATTATGTTTATATTCACCACAACATTCAATATTTAATTTCAAAAACGTGTAATTTCGTGGTAACGAAATGTGTAGTTTCAAAATTTAAATTTTAAATTTAATGATAACTTTACAATTACGATACTGATACCACAGTTTTCTTACTTTATTAAGGACTATATAATTCCTGTTAAAACATTAAAATGCAGATGTTTGCTACTACAAGCATAAAAACTTACTTTTTCTAAATGAAAGTTGAGATTTAAAAAAAAAAAGAGTTTCAAATCTTTGAAAAAATTAAAATTCGCCAAAAATTGACGTCAATGCCCTGATGGCTCTAGTAAATTGCAGAGTAAATTTTACTTGGAGTTTTTCGTTGAATTTTGCAGTTGTAAATTATTTAGAGATTTGCTAATTTTAATTGCTAAATTAGAGAAAACAATGTCCCACTGCTCCCACATTCTAAAAGGGAAAATAGTGGCAATTTATGAAGATGGAAAATCTATCAGAGAAATTAATTGGGTATTGAATATATCTTATTATACAGCTAGAAGATGGTATTTGAGGTAAATAAATTGTATTTTTAAGTTGAAAGTTCATAATTGAAAGGTATATAACTCGGAATGAATTCCTTATTACTTAAGCATTTAGATTTTAGTTTTAAATTCGAATTTTTTAAGTATTGTTGCAAAAAAAATTTGTTTCTCAAAACTCTTTGCATTATTAACTCTTTAAGAGACCCCTCCCTTTTTAGTAATTTTATGTTAAACTATATTTGAGATTGAGTTTTATTTGTAAAATAATAGTTTATGGAGCCTGTTATTTTTTATAGTTTGCCTAAAACTAATTTGATTTTTAAAACCTTTGACGGGTTGTAAAATTTTACCTATAGTAAAGAATTGATTATTCAGTCCTTATAAATAACCGGATTTGTAAATTCTGTTTGGGACTAGAAATAAACTCAATAAAAAGTTATGAGTTGAAGGATCACTTATTGCAGAGGACAAAATATTTCTCCAGTTTTGGCCTCCCTTCTTGCCCCCCCCCACTACCCTCAACTATTCTATTTCCAGCATTTATGAAAACAAATCCCTTCTTTGGTATTTTTTATGAAATTATTAGAAGATGGCTGAAGAAGATTTTATGAAATTATTAGAATATGGTTGCAGAAATACTAGAAAAAATAGCTTAGCGATATTATTTACAAATTAATGCTGCTGATAGGAAATATTCTTCCCGCCGCCTGTTATATGCTGAGTAAAATAAATTACCTGAAACAAATTCGTATGTGGTCAATAACTCTGTTTAGTTTTACTGTGCTAAATTAAAGATTTAACTTATCGATCAACAAGTCAATGACATTCATTGGTGAAATAATCTGTGGTTTAATTAATAGAAAGCTTTAAATATAATCAAAATGTTTGAATTTCTGACTATAGGATTTAAGTTGATACCTTTTGAACTTCGCAAATATTGTAAAATATAATTTAGCGAAAGGCCATGAAATTTCTCATTTTTAAATTTAAAAATTATATAAAACAAATAAATGTTTTGTAAATTTATATTTTGATTACTTAATATAAATAAATTATTTAGTGAAGTGTATAAAACTTTTATTTATCTTTATCTATCAGTCTTATCAAACTCATCAATTTTAACATCGAATTTTAAATTACGTTTAAATTAAATTACGTTATATATATATGTATATATATATATATAGGGCCCTATAAATTATGCGAAAATGCGGAAACCCGCATAATTTACGATTTTCCGCGTAATCGCAGCATATCTGTATAATTTTTATTTTTCAGCAAAATGTATTCGTTTACCAGATAGATTTCTCCTTAAGGGTCTTTTTTCAATTGAAATATATCCTCTTTTTCAATTCTAAGAATCTTTTTGGTCAGGTGGTCAGATCTTTCCAAGAATCTCCCCCCCCCGGCACATAGCTTCTTATCAGTCGCCATCATCCTCAATAGGAAGCTGGTTGAACAGCTTTCGCGGTGTATAGACCATAGAGGTCACCTCTATGGTATAGACCCCAGAGCTAGCTAGACAAATTCACAGGAAACTTTAAGAAATTGTTCAAGCATTTTCCTGCAAGAAAGCGCAGCTATTTAAAATTTCTAAGAGATGACAATAAGAAAGCTAAACTTTGTCCAGTACCAATAAAGACACGGTGGAATTCCTGGTTTAAATCAGTGCAATATCATGCTGAATATTGTAATGTTTGCAAAGAATTTTTTAGCAGTGAAATAAACCTTACTCCTGACACTGCTTGTCTCAATCAGTGCAAAGTTTTGGTGGAAAGCAAGTACGTTTGCAAAGATTTTCAGTTCATGCAAAACACGCTCAGATATTAATGGATACTCTTCTCTTTTTCGAAACATGTGGTGCATCTATTCTCAAAGCTTACAATAAGATTTTTGATCTGCGGTCTGAACTTCGATGTAATTCTCAGGCATCATAGTCACGAAAAGATTTACGCGACGCATTTCTTCAAGAAGTGTTTCACAAAACAATTGCAAAGTTGAATACTTACTATACTCCAGAACTAGACGTATTCAAAAAACGCGGGCCCAAGTTTAGTCAACCTGCATTAAACTTCATGAAAGCTGCTCGAGTTTTCGATCCAGAACAAATAGTCAACCTCATTATTGAAGACGACGATGCATTCAAGAATATTCCAGGAATGAGTGGTCAAGATATAAAACTCGACTTTGCTGCTTACAAAGAATATGTAAAAGAATGTTCAAACCAGGACTTAATTAGATTCTGGAATTGAGAGGTAGTCTCAGAGAGACTTCCAGAACTTACAAAAAAAGCAAGTCAAGTGTTCTCAGTGCTTCTTAATTCAGTAGATTGTGAAAGAGCTGTATCCTGCTACGGCCAAATTTTTACAAAACAAAGACAGAGTTTGAAAGAAAACGCAGCTTCTGGACTAACTTCTCTCCATTTTAATAAACTTTAATAATTGTTCTGATGTAGAAAATCGATGTACAATACATAAGAAGGTAATTTAGTTGAAATCTTTACTGTATTCATTGAAATTTTATTTTTTTTATTATCCATTTCTTCATGATACATTTTAAAATCATTTAGCATCTTTGCACCAATTTCATCATTTTTCGATAAATAAAAATTTCTCAGTTCCTCAGTGCAAGTTTGAGCATCACTTAAAGTTTTTACTTTTGTTTCGTATTCAGAAAGCAGTTGAGTATAAGTGTCTTCATTTTCACTCTCGGCATCATTATTTGCAACCATTTTTACAATTTCGTCCATATTTAAATCATTCTTTTAACATTTAATATTTTCGTCTATGTTTACAAAATCATTACCGCTGACAACACTTTCTCCAGTCAAGCGAATCAAATTTGTTAATTTAGAAAAGGAATCATCCGAATTTGTGTCATCTTCGACATCTGTAAGGATTTTGCATTCTGATGTATTTTTATAAAGCCTGATTTAGTGATATAGTTTAAAATGGTTGAGCTTTTTACTTTTTTCCAGGCTGCTATTATCCACAAAGAAGCTTGTAAAACATCAATTTTTACGCTTTCTTTATTTGGCCCATCTAAGCTCGTATCAAGTGTTTTAAAATTACTTGCCGATAAAACACTCGGAAGTTTTTAATAACACCTTGATCAAGTGGTTGACAAACAGACGTTACATGTGGAGGAAACAACGCCATTTTTGCATTCTTTCGATTAATGTTAGAGTGAGACGCTGCATTATCAGGAAAAAGAAGAACTTTCCTGTTTTTGCCGCCCATTTTTCTATCAAGTTCTAGCAACCCCTCAGTCATTAAATCCTGGGTCATCCATGTTCGTCGATTTGCTTTCCATTGCCTTCCAAGCCTAAATAAATCTATCCCTTTAAGACACCTGGGATTATTTGATTTTCCTATAATCGTCGGCTCTTGTGCTCCAGTCATACTTGCGCAAAGTAAAATCGTCAATCTTTCTTTTGACATTTTACCTCCTTCACACTTTTTACCTTTTAAACACAAGTTACCTTTTAAACAAAGTTTTTTCCGGTAATGCCGAAAAAAAAGACTAGTCTCATCAGCATTTAATACGCCATCCGGTGCATAATCCTTCAATAAGGAAGGCAGCTTTTCCAACCATTCTTTAATCATCTCAGTATCCACAGAAGCGGACTCTCCGCTTATTGATTTAAAAGAAATCATATGCCTCTTTCTGAACTTTTCTAACCATCCATTAGAAGCTTTAAAATCCTTTACCCCCAATTTCTCAGCTGCCTCTCTAGTCTTTTCCTGTAACATTGGTCCAGATACAGGGTATTTTTTGCTTCTAACTTGAGAAAACCATTAAAAAACGCATCTGTCAATTTTAAATCCAGGTCCGTTTTCCGAAGATATTCTAATTTGGTTCTTATTTCCATTTCCGCACCAACGTTTCATAAGTTTTTCTCTATTTTTAATGATATTTGTTGCCTGAGTTTTTCCAATTTTAAAGTGTTTGGACATTCAGACACTGCTTTTTGATGTTTGGAATACTCTTAAAAGTTAAATTTTTTCCTTCAAAGTTAAAACTTTACGAGGCATAGTTGAACAAGAAGAGACTTTCTCAAGAATAAAGATCTTTTGAAAGTTTTATCTCAAATTATCTTTTAACAGATGTAGTTACAAAGAATTGAAAATGTTTTTCATAACTATGCAGATATTCAAGTTAGTCATATGATACGGAATGGACACTTACACCGAAAAGCCATTACATTATGACCACCCTTCATTTATAGCAATGATCTCGTCCAGGTTTTCATGGTTTCTCGCCCAGGAACAATGTTTTCATGGGCACATTAGGTACCATAATCCTCATAGAACAATCCCTGACGTCTGCGGATCAGGTTAACCCAGTCATGGCAACAGTTTTTCCTGCGGGGGATGATGTTTACCAACAGGATAATGTCATAAGGCTCGAATCGTCAAAACATGTCATAAGGGTCTAACATGTGCCATGTGCAATGTCATAACATGTGCCATGTCTCACACCATGTCATAAGGGTCGAATCGTCATGGATTGGTTCGAGGAACATTCCAGTGACTTTCAAGTCATGTCTTGGTCCCCAAATTCACATGATCTTAATCCAATAGAGCATTTGTGTTCCTACTTGGAAAACCAAATTCGTGCTGCCACACTACCCCCTCGCAATGTGAGGGAATTGCAGGACCAGTTGCGACCACACTCCGCTTCCATCAATACTTTTATTCCCCCCCCCCATCACTTAATAAGAAACGTGGTATTACCTCACTGAAAGTAAACCTCCAGTAATGCACAGAAAGAGGAGCAAGACAATGCTTACCTGTAAGACGCCAGGCCCTATGGAGTTGTATTCGCAATCGATCATTTGTCAAGAGTTTGTATAAACGTTTGATTTATATGAACACCTCCATGACTAAGATTTCTATTCTATTCTTTTAACCCAGCTGAGATGAGTGCAGGGTACAAACTGATTAGAAATAGAAAGGACATTTCAGTGGGAAAGAGGAATTGATAATAATAAATGTGTCACTTAAACTTGTGGGATCTCAAGACTAAGCATGAGGGATCACGACAGTGTAGTCCAAATAAAAAGATCCAAAGATGTCGCTGTCCGAAATTTTTTGCATGAGCAGAATCATTTTCCTTTCTTTCTTGCCAAACATGAAATCAAAAAGATAAAGAAAGGTGACAAGAGAATGATAGAGTCTCTGGAATTGAAATAGCTTAATATTTTTAGTCATGGATAAGTCAAAAAATTTACATGCTTTAAAAAATGGAAGAGAGAGGCATTTTTTTCTTAAATTTCATAGTAATTTTTTTTTTTTAAATTAGGATACGTAGTGTCCGGTTTGAAGAGGTAGAAAATAACGTTTCAGGGCAAAAATGACTATATATATATATATATATATATATGGTCAGGCTTATAAAGATCACTTTTTATGAATGAAATAAATTTGGTTCTTGATAAATAGAGGTCAATTAACAGCGTGAAAACTACCAAAAAACGAACATGGCCATAGATTAAATGTTCGTCGTATTTCAAAAGGGTCGAACACTTGTAACTGAAGAAAAAAGTAGGTACATTTTTGTTTTTCATTTTCGTTTATTGTAATATGCGTACTAGTTGAGATAGTGATTCTAGTCATTCAATTGCGCTGCTAACTCAGCGTCAAAAATGAACATTAAAAAGAAAAGATTTAAAACTAAGACATTAAAATAATGCTTACTTTGCATCGGTTGCTCGAATTAAGACCTGCAAGCACTTTACCGATATTCTAGCATCAAATCCAAAAACACTCATTTTTGAACGTAGAATACCGGCTAGTTTGCAGAAAAGGCTAGAAAAACAAAAATTAGAATATGGAATTTTTTTATATAAATTAGTAATACACTGTAGTCAAAAAGAAAAGAAACCCAGATTTTTTGAGATTCTGTGGGTTTTTTCTTCATGCATATAACCCTTAATTTTCCTGATCCTGAAAGCTACGTGAGAAGGATCTTTTTGAAAAAGCACAAAAAACGATAATACTATTTTCATAAAGTTAGGAGTAGAATTTTGATAACAGTACCTTTTAGAAAAGGTCTGTTGATTTAACTTAGCAATGAGTTAAATTCAAAATATAAACGAATTGATAGTAGTAATATTTAGTGGGTACAGTTACNATATATATATATATTGGCTCACTAGAGAGTATTTTATTTCAGATTCGTAAAAATATTACATAATTGAAGTTGTCAAGTTTTTATGAATACATTGTAGGAAATTTCATTTCTTCCTTGTGCAGAAATTTCCTACTTAAAATATTTTTTTAAAAATATTTTTTAAGAACTTTTTGCTCTGTTTTTTGGTAATTAAAGTAATTTTCCGTTTATGACCTTGAAAATTGGTCGTTTTCAAATTTTTATTTTGTAACGATATAATCTTTAGGTGAAATTGAAACGATTGACATTAGTGAGGTAACCAGTCTGATAGCAATATAATGAATATCATTATCTCTATAATGAACGAGTTATAATATAATCAATGCATGGAGATTAATTTCAGTTAAAGAAACTGGTTGCCTAACTCTACGATGTTTATTATAAATCGGCAGTAAAGAAAAGTTAATTTTATTTCAAAGGAAAAGGAAAACATAACTTCATTTAGTTGATGGTTTTGACTTTTTAGTGCTAAATAGTTCAGTATAGGAATGTCATTGTATTTCTTGTATCATTTACACCAGCGATAAGATTAGAACGTGCATCAACGATTAAGTACTATTTACTCACCTATAATTAAATAAATGACCTCGTATCATTTAATAAAATAAGAATCTATTTAACATACTTGAATATAGTTAATATTAAAGCAATAATTTATGCTAGTTATAGTTAATATTAAAGCAATAATTAATTTAATAATATTCAGTAATCAATAATATACAAAGTCTGTAGTGTTTAAAAAAATATTAATTATTATTTTCAATTGATAAAATGAATTTACTATTTAATTGGATTGAAGATACGGTTATCTTTCCTGTGATTTTTTAGTCGTATATCAACTGACCATGAGTTACTGCACTACTAGAATATGAATATGTTTGAGGAAATGTAAGAGGATATGAATATAAGGGAGGCAGGGCTCGAAAAAACGCAAAAATTTCACCCGTCCCCGAGGACGGCTTGTCCAACAATGTACCCGTCCTCCTTTGAAACTAACCCGCCGTAGCTTCTAAATAAGTAAAAATATAATTTTCTCTTATTTATTACAAACATTTATATAAATTGCACAATGAATTAGTAGTTACTAGGATTACGTTATACAGTAATAAAAAAAATACTAGGTTACTAATAGTAACCAAGAATTTTTTTTTTATGAAATAATTTATTTCTTTTATGAAGTAATTTATTTCTTTTATGAAATAATTTATTTATTTTATGAAATAACTTGTTTATTTTATGAAATAATTTAAATGACAAAGGTCACGACGGGAAAATGGCTGTCCGCGCAGACGTCGGATTCGAGAAATTTGTTGTCCGCGGGGAATTTTTGACCGCCGAGGACGGGCCGACTGGCGGTTTTTTGAGAACTGGAAAGAGGAAAGTTAACTGGATCGCTTTGCTGCCGCTGAACCTGTTTTTATCTGAAGCAGAAAAAAACTCCTTAAGTAATTCTCCTATTATTAAATTATTATCGGATGTTCTTTGATTTTAACTGCGTGAACGTCTACATTGCTGATAAAAAGGTCCAAATTTGTGAAAAGAACTCTCAATAACATCTCATAAGGTTGTTTTAAATAAATTAATTTTGATTTTTATGCTTTCTGGTTATATGTATGTTATCGAGAGTTTTGATTTCGAAGCTTAACTGCCGAAGCTAACAGCAACAATGTGGAGATAAATGCATAATACCATATCTTCTTAATCCACTATAGATATGAATCAAAGAGAAACCACAAACATGCGGTTCCTTGTAGGAGAATTAAGAAATCTGACCAATGCTGTCGAAATCAGTAGAGTCGTAAGTAACTAGTGGGGTGCACCCCTAGCTCGCTAACACTCGCCAACCCCCGAAAATTGCTATGCAATCTTATATGGTTTGCTTCGCAAACCAAGCTCGCTTCGCTCGCTACTAACTTAGGTACATTGCAAATGCACAAAATTCTAAGAATTCAAAACAATCATTCAAATCCATATAAAAACTTTCTTTTAAAAAAAAATTACATCTTTTTAGTAAATATTAAGTCATTAAAATAAATTTGAATTCAGATAAATTACATATAATTCGTTAAACCTATTAAAAATGTGCTATAGTATAAAATCTTAAGGAGTAACAGCACGACTGAGACTCATTTTTCAATAAATAACTAATAACAATAATAAAACAAATAAATTCGTGATATAAATAAGAAATTGTCAAATAAATCGTAATATATAAACTCGTGAAAAAAGCGCTTTCAACGAAATACTAAAATAGAGATCTATCGCAAAGACTACTCACTTCTGCCTAGCTTAATAGTATGAGATTGTCGCAGCTGATAGGGTGAATTTCGGAAGAGATCATATTTGGTAAGAATGCTCTCTCTGGTTATTTCAGTTTCCGTTTTTAAAAGCGCTATATGTTGAGCCACCTCAGCTAGATTTGGCATGTGACATTTTTAGCGGCAATCATTGGTCGATTTTCTAGCGTTGCTATTCGGGGAGTTGTAATGAAGCCTTTTTTTGTCGTCGTGTAAGAGAAATATATATATATAGATTGTTGATAAATGTGAACTGGTAAGTTTATGCGAGTTTGGACCAA